ACTTTTTATCGGGGCCTGTTGCAATAGGACAAGGGGTAATGGTTTTAAACTGAAAGAGGGCAGATTTGAACTAGATCTAAGGAGGACATTTTTCACAATGAGAGTGGTGAAACGCTGACACGGGTTGCCGAGAGAGGTAGTGGATGCCCCATCCCTGGAAACATTCCAGGTCAGGTTGGACAGGACTCTGAGCAGCCTGGTCTAGTTGAAGATGGCCCTGAAGATGGCCCCCCTCATTGCAGGGGTGTTGGACTAGATAACCTTTAAAGGTTAAAACCCAAACTATTGCATGGTTCTATTATCTTCTATGATTTTTGTCTAGATGCCAAAACATTGGCTTCTGTGCCCAGTACGTTCAGATTTAAACTGTTGGCCTTCCCCATCTCTCTCTAATTTCATTAAGAAGCAAAGGCAATGTACTTAGATGCATCACTGCACACTTGTGATGGTTGGGTTCTGGTTTTGGCTTCTATTATAATGTCCAGTAGAAGTAAAAGCCAAGCCAATCCCTCAAAACAAAACACCCAGCAACAAATTTTTAGTAGATGTCTATAGCAACCTAAAAGTTCTTAAACAGGACAGCCCCAATCCACTTCTAGCAAGATGCCCCTTGCTAAACATCTCTAAATAATGGTGGAAAATACGCAGAGTAGAGGACAGTAGATCAATCCATTCTGTTCTCTAGCATCATGTGGTTTGCAAAGAGGAGAGCTGAATTTTTCTGTTCAACATTTTTTTTCCACATTTAACTTAAATACTGAAGTTAAAAATAATATTTTTGTAGGAAGCAATGCTTCTGATATTCTGCAAACTGCAAAGTTATACACGAAGCAAGGTGAAATTTAAGTGAAGTGCTTGCAGTCTTGCTATCTAACAGAGGTCAGTGCCAGATGCTGTGAATCAAGATTAAAAAATTTCTGAGGATTTTTAGGCAATTGCAGAATTCTCTGCTTCTCTGTCTTGTTCCAAACACAACGAGTTAGAAATCAGCTCAAGCCTTGAAGTTGCATTTATATCTCCTATGTATCTTCCATGCCTGCTGTCCTGAGAGGATGTAGAATCTCTCTCCTTGGAGATACTCAGAAATAGCCTGGACGAGTTCCTGAGCAACCTGATATAATTGCTTTGAGCAGGAGGTTGGGTTACGTGGCGGGCAGAGGTCCCTTCCAAGCTGAATTGTTCTATGATGCTGTGATTCAATCTGTCTTCCAGGTATGCAAGTTAAAAGCAACAAGGGAAGGGCTGCTGGGCAAGGCAAGCATGTGCTTGGCTTTTTTTCCTGTTGTTGTTACACCTCAAATTAATAATAACATTATGATTTTGCCTACATGTTAAAGTAGCAGGTGAACTTAGGAAGGCAAGAGCTGCCATAACATTAAGGTTCAAATTAAGGAGAAAGGGGTAGGATTGTTACGGAGAACATGGACAGTGGGAGATTAAGACTGGCACCACTACCTGGTATGAATGGGTATGAGTATGAATGACCACAAAAGGGAATACAGAAGCTGTCAAGAATCAGGTATATATGGAATGTAAATAAAAAAATAATTTCATTACATCGTGGTTTAGCCCCAGCCGGCAACTCAGCCCCACGCAGCCACTCGCTCACTCCCCCACGGTGGGACGAGGGAGAGAATTGGAAGAGTAAAACTGAGGAAACTCATGGTTTGAGATAAAGACAGTTTAACAGGTAAAGCAAAAGCCGCGCACACAAGCAAAGCAGAACAAGGAATTCATTCACCTCTCCCCACGGGCAGGCAGGTGCTCAGCCATCCCCAGGGAAGCAGGGCTTCATCACGCGTAATGGTTACTTGGGAAGACGGATGCCATCACTCCCAACGTTTCCCCCACCCCTTCCTCCTTCTTCACCCCAGCTTTATATACTGATCATGACGTTATATGGTATGGAATATCCCTGTGGCCAGGCTGGGCCAGCTGTCCCGGCTGTGTCCCCTCCCAGCTCCCCGTGCACCCCCAGCCTGCTCGCTGCAGGCCAGCGCGAGAAGCTGGACTGTCCTTGACTCCTTAGCAACAACCCAAAAATATCAGCACGTTATCAACATTATTTTCATCCCCAATCCAAGACACAGCTTTATACCAGCTATCAGGAAGAAAACTAACTCTATCCCAATTGAAACCAGGACACATTACCAGTCGTAACAGTCTTCAAACCAACTCTGATGAATTTTATGTTTCTGGACATTATACAGAAGATTTTTATTCATTCAGATTATCATGGTTGTCGATATAGGTTATGAGCTAGTGGGTTGATTGTGGTAACAAGAGGGGATGGTAGTAGATTGCATGTGTGCTCATTGTGCCGGTCACCAAAAGGTTAACAGTTAGATGAGGTGTTGAAAAAAAAAAATTACACAAGAGAAGCTAGCTCTAAAATTGCCTAACAGACACTCAGGAGACTTCTAAAGCTTTTCAGTAATAAGTTGGGAGGAAGATATTGTTGTTCTTTTTATTCTTAAGCATTTATTACATTCAGCAATAAATCTGGTTTAAGTGACATAATGCTGGTGTCCAGCAATTAGCCTGCACTTCCAAATTAATACTGCTTTCGCCTGTGTGGCCTTGATTTGATTAATTGGCTGCCTTTCCTTTTTGTATTCTGTTGTGATTGTATGATGACAGTGATTCAGCATGTACAACATAGGCATAAAAAAAATAATTTAATGCTCCACTTACGCAGCAGGCATGATTGACACTCTCTTGGGTGACTGTTGCAGTAGTGCTCGTCGGAGTAGCACGTCAGCAGTTGCTTTGCAGTAACGGTGAAGCCAAGACAACTGTGCTAGTACAGTATCTTTTTGAAATTCAAAACGTGGCAAAATTATTGAATATGATTGGCAGCTTGAACTAGACACATCTCTAGATGGGTATCTTGAATACGAAAACATATAGTAAAGAGTGGGGACTTCTGCAAGTGAAGAACTAATCCTTTACGTTTGCATATGAATGAAAACTAGGTTTGCTGGTTTTGCACCGTCTGTTCTGTATAAGGCAAGATCAATTGCCCATTAGTTAATCACAACTTAGAAAAAAACACCTCATTTTAAAAGGAGAATACGTTACTATTGACAGCATCCAAATTTATTTTTCTTTTGCTGCTTCCAGTAAGCTGCTGGGTTTGCCAGCTTTTTCAGTTACCACTCATCCAGCTTTACTGTGGACTTAAAATATTCTGGGATCATTTTTCAGGAGCATTTTTGTGTCTTGGGATCATGAAATAAACCAGAAGTGTTCAGAGGAAGTTTGCAAAGAGAAAATTATTTCTAAAATAAATTACCCTGTTTCACTGTAGGGTGAGTTATTTTATGTTTACTAAGTTTCTGCTTGGACAGGAAACAATAGCTCTGTGAAACACTAGCTGGCTGAACGTAAAGCAGCAGGGCAATTTCTTTATAGTATTCCACGCAGCTAAATGTTAAATAGAAATATATTATTTAGATTTCACAGCCTGTTTTAGAAAGCACTTCCCCAGCTTGCCAGTGCCTCCGTTTGGAAGCGAGGCATTTTTGCTTTTGCAGTCTTTGTCACAAGGACCCTGTTCCGCAGTGGAGAAGAGATGTTCCGGAGCTCACTTCTGCAGGGCTCTGCTCCTTTTGAGTACTGGCAGCTCCAGGAGCAAAAGGTCTGCAGGGTTAGGTCCCAGTTCCCAAAATGGCCTTGTGAACCTTTGCAGCCAAGTGGTGGTAGGAAAGAGCATTGATACAACGTGAATTCTGCCCAGGCAGCACAAGTCGACATAAAAAGCAAATATGCCTTACTATCCTTTCTGAAAACATTTTAAAGAACTTTTCAGGGGAAAAAAACAAACAAACCAACCAAAACCAAAAAACCCCAACTCCTCTGAAAACTAACAATGTCGGACTGTATTTTATAATGAATATTTCACGTCTGTTCCATTAGCAAATTGTAAACAGTGCTTTGCCCGTTTACTCAAGAATACATGGGTTTTTTCTCATAGGTGCCTCAAGGGATAGTTCAATAGAAATCAGGTTGCTTAAAATGCACAGAAAGTTTTTTGTTGTATAAAATATTTGCAAAGAACTAGCAGCTTAAGGTGTTCTGGAGGCATAAGGAAAAAGGATTCCTTGCATAGGGACAGATACTACATTTTGATAGTTACTTGGCATTGGTCATTGAAGAATAGATTGAGAAGTTTTGGAGCTGTGTTTAGTCAGGTTTTTGCAGGTGGCTGAGTGACTTAAGTAACAAAGTTTCATTGAAATTCAAAGGTGGTAAAAATCCATGGTGATCAGGTATCTAACTTAAAAAAGAATTTGCCTGTTTGCCACCTTAACAGCTTTTTTATAATTCTAAGTACCTTTGAAAACTATTTCTGATTTTCTATAAGATTTTGATGTCAGATGAACTCTTTTTTTCCCACCTGTGTTAGTTTTTCCTGCATTTATGAGGAAAACAAGCTTTCCTGTATTTTCAACTTGTGTACTTAGCTTTATGTGAACCAATGAAGAAAATGAAGCCAATTTAATAAATACATTTCCAAGTGGTCAAGGAAAATTTTTCTGTCCAATAGAAGCCCCAAATTTGGACATTTGGTGTAAAAAAACAAACAAACAAAAAAAAACTCCACAGACAAAAACCCCAGAATTGTTTAATTGGCAGGACAAGAGACAGACAACAGATGACACAGTATCATTTCTGTGTTTAAGCCACTTCATGAAGTTTTGTTTCACCAAGGCTTATCGTATGCGTTCTACGACATGTATATCACTGTAGGAGAGATACAGAGTATGGTATATATATTGGCATATATTGATTTTGTGAAAGGGGCGGGGGCAGAGCGAAGTGCAACGTACAGCTATCACTCGGGTTTAGCACACAGACGCAGCGTTGGAAGGGCAGGTCTGTGGCCTGCCGGCCAGATGGGAATTCCAGGCTTTGCTGGTCACAGGGGGTGGGCTGGAGGGTGGGTGGTTTCAGCCGTGGCCCCAGGGGCTACAGGAGCCGGACAGGGTGAAATCGGAATGGGGGCAAATCAGATTAAGAGCGTTTCGGTAGGTGTGCAGAGAGAGAGGATGTATTTTGATGGGTGTTTTATATCTGCATGTGGGGAAATGCATGTCTATGCACACACGTGCGCAAGTATCTCTGTGTATGTGCGTCTAGACGCACACATGTATGTAAAATTTTTAAGTGAGTACCGTGATTGCTGCTTGCAGTTTTCAATTCTTAGTCATCAGAAGTAGAAACGTGGCACTAGCTGTATTCACAGTCTGAGTCTGTCTTCTGTAGTAAATAAATAAATATTTATTTATTATAGACTGCGTTCCACATCCGGTCACTTCATTTCGTATGGTGATACCTATGCTGCCTGACTTGGAGGAACAAAATTTTTATGTACAGGGGAAAGGAACTGAAGCTTTAATGGTATCCATAGAAAACTCTTTGTTTTGCTTGTTCACACAACTCCAACTTAGATATTTTGCATAATACTCATAACATCCTAAGCTCCCAAATATACTATCTGTAAACAAAACCGTAAAAAGATGTTTATGAATGTGCACTGGAGAGAAATGAAAAATGTATCATCTAAGCAAACTGGTGATTTATATTCAAATAAATGTTTGTGAATGCTTTCTTCATAGTGTTGACTGGTTAGTTTCACTGTTAAGGTGGGTAAAGACGGTATACCTGTGTGTGTAAATTCGAATTGTATATTCTCTTTTAATATATTCTTTATAATATAATTCTGTCTGGTTTAGATGATGAGTCTTCCATTCTGATTTAATATAACTATGCCACTAATATGTAAATCAAAGGTTCATTTTTTCTCCCATCACTATCAATTTTGTAATTGACTTTACACAATTAATCTTCACTATTGCAGTCCTGGACAGATTTCCTAGGAATTTTGCAGTGTCAGGCTTTGCCTCTGTTTACTCTTGCAGTCTGATCCCTCTTGGCATGCTGATTCATGCTTTACACCACCAGATAGGTTTTGTTCATCTGGAGGAATGAAGTTAAAGAGGTCATGCCAGCGTTTCCTCTCTCCTTCTAGACTATTTATCTCCTTTTAATTTAAACTCAGAGGAAAATAAAAGGAACAAAAAGTGGATTTCTGCAGCTAAGCTAAAGTGGGAAGATCAATGGAATTTATTATCAAGGGATGTCTAATCTCTAAAGCTAATACAAGACTTCACAGCTATCGATTACATGCTAAGGATGCACAAACTGTTAATCATGCATGGAGGCAATAGAATAAACATACTATCAAGAGGGAATGGGCAAATAATTGTCAGTAGTGCAGTTATACTTCATCTCTTTACCACTGAAGCAGGGACAGCTATATTTTGCATCAAGAAAGATACACCCTAAAAATCTATTGAATATCCCCTCATTGCTACTGAAACTACTATAGTACAGCTGATTATTTATGTAATAATTCAGATGTTTTCTTCAGCTCCCTGAGGTATGTGGTCAATAAGAAATTTGTAAGCTGGCTTAATAAGTCAGCCACTAGATGAAGTGAAGAGAAAAAGCTCATAGATTTTCATGCAATTGCATTATAACCTTTGTTTGTAACGAAATAAATCTGTAGTGCCAGTACAGTATAGATGTCATTGTTTCATTTATTCTGGGTTCATATTTCACATGACAAATAGGTGGACACACTAATGTAAACAAAGTGGGTTCTGTTTGTGTTTGCACCCGTATTCATTTTGTATCCCGTATTTGTTACACCTCTGAAAAAGGAGATGCCCAGTGATGCTTTAGATCTTTATTGGGGGCATACATAGCTGTTAATTTTTCATTTTCTGTCTGAACTGAAATTATGTCAAATTTTCTGACTTTTCTACTTCATTTGAATTCTCTTTCTTTGATGTTCACTATTTCTTAATGCTTCTAAGTTTAAAAAGATTGAAGGCCTCAGTTTTCAAATTTGGTTGCCTAGTCAGGCCTCTAAAATGCAGACATGGAAAACAATTTGAAAAAAGAAATTAAAAAAAAATTAGTACCTCAGTTAGACTTCCCAACCGGTATTTACATACATGGCAGGTGTCGTGGTTTTCGTATGTTCTGAGTATGAGGCATTGCAGATACTCCAACACTGGGATATCTGGAGTAGTAACTTATTTCAATAACTTACGAAAAGTCTATATTCATCCAGTTAGTAATACGATGTTGTGTGGGTTTGGCTTGGTATACACATAAGTAGGTAGGAAGGAGTTCCTGCCTGAAACTAAGTAGTTCATGAACTACCATTAAGTAGTTAAAGGATTGAGGCCAGCGCTGTTAATTGATTTTTGCCTTTAACTGTAAGCTGGCCTTTAACTCTACTTAGAAATGGTCAAAAATCTACCAGAGTTACAGGCTAGGAACTTGAATAGAATTGACAAGAATTATTCTGTCATAAAGACAGACTGGTTCAAGGAAATCAGACTGAAATGCATGACATTCTTGGGATGTCTGAACAAATTGGGTCTTCCTGTGTTATCATCATGTTGTTAAATAACATATATTCTTATGTCAGCTTTGTTGGAAGTTCTCTTTTCTCTAGAAGCTCCTAAAGAAACATGCTTTGCTTTTAAAGTTCTATGGCTATTAAGTTTCTCCAGCACTAGAGCCATATTCAGACAGATTAAATTCTGCCAAGAGCTGTATCTAGTTTCAGATTGCACAGTTGTAGGTAGCCCCTCGCAAAGAGGTCACTTAGGCATCCCTCATCAGACCTCAGCAGGTTCTCCTCAGTATACGTTCTCCACACAGGACCTGTGGTGAAATTTAGGGACTTGAGGTGTGGCTTCTGTTCCTTAGGGAGTTAGTCTGAATGAAATTATTTTGGATTTGTAGATTAATAATCCTTGAAACACAGGGGTTTCATCATGGATATTCTAGGACATAGGGCTTTGTTCATAACTTCAGTAAAGGATGCTCCTTTGACAGGCAGCACATCACCCACAGAAATACAGAAGTGATGATAGTCAATGCCTGTAATTCCTGCTCAAACTTTGGTTGCCTGCTGAAATGTGTAACTCTAGTCCAGTCCTTTTCAATGAGCGCTAATTTTGTATACAGCAGTCTTAACCAAGTTTATGATGTGAGGGAATTTAGTATCTATATAAAACCTTTCTACATGATTCATTGCTCACTAATAACAAAAGTAATAATTGAGAGTAATGGAACTGAAATGAACCAGTGAAGAACCTTTGTTTATTGTTTTCTTACTGCACATTTGACAGCTATTCTGGTTTGGGTTGTATTTCCTCCAGTGGTTTTCACTCATACCATTCTTCCATGCTCATATCAGGGGTCTTTTTAGAAGAATTCTTTACAGCAGCAGGACTGTAATTTTTTTTTTTTTTTTTCCCATTTTGGGAACATTTTGTTTTTGTAGGACCTTGCATGAACTGAGGAACCAGCAGGAGCCAGAGTGACATCTTAGAATAATCTTCTTTTATGTCCCACATGCCAAGCAGAGACCTATCTTGGAAAGGTCAGGAGAAGCCACAGGACAGAGGCTCCAGTTCTCATAAAGAAAAGTCTGGGGAATTCCAGTGGCTGTCAGACTGAGAAAATTAGAACAAAAATGAGGACTTTTTTTTTCTATGCCATTTTTGTTTTAAAATGTAAGGGCAAGATAATTAAAGGAGCCTCTGTCAGAAACACGGTGCTTTAAATTACAGGGTTGCTATCTTAAGCCAAAGGTACTCTACTTTTTTAACAATTGCAATACATTTACTTTTGTATGTCAGAGTTTTTATTGAATATAAGCCCCACATCTCTTCACAGTTCCCTCAAACTTCACGCAAATTTATGCATTGTATCAGCTTCCAAGTCCAGCTAGTTTTCGCCTTCTGTGTCACCAGTGAAGGTGACCTCGGTCACTCTAAAACTTGATATGAATTTCAGTCAGTGTGGTTAAATTAGAAATTTGAAGTCAGCTCCTCAGTGTAATGCCCGACCAGAAAGAGTTCAAGGGGGAGGAAAGATACGAAAGCCAACCCCGATTAAAGAATTGTATACACAGACACTATCTAGACGGTATATGGTGGTGTTGGAGATGCACTGTCTTTATCTGAAATGTTTGTGCTTCAAAATTGGTCTGATTGTTTTCCATTTCATGCAAACAAATGTGAGTTCTGTCTGCTGGTCAGAAAATGTAATTCCCCCTCTTCTGCCAGGTAAATGGAAATGAAACTGTGTCCTGCAATCAACATTTAGGATTTCTGAGGAAAGGCAGCAAAAGCAAAGGACTTGTCATGCTTTACTAGCTTTGTTTTATGGGATTTTTCTCAACACTTTGGGACATCTGTTTTTCTCTGATTGACAGCAGGGTAATAAGTTGTATCATTAAAAATGGGTTCCGAGGAAATGTATGCTCTCACCTTGCTGCTTCTGCAACTGTGAAGGCTTTTGTTTTCATTGCCATCTTTGTGTAAGTAAAAATAATCTCTACAAAGAGGCTCCAATATTGACCTGTCATATCATGTGTTGCTTATCAAGCACTAAAGAAAATTGAATTTCATTTTATCTGTTATCTGGAGCGTCTTATTAAATCATCCTGCAGTTGAGAGGTGGTATAGGGTCAACAGGTTCAGTCTCTTTTGCCATCTATCCCTGGATTATTAACCATTGGAGAATTACTAAAGCTGTTCTTTATTTTATCCATGAAGTTGGGTTAAATCTTCTTGATCCATGAATTGTTGCAAGTGAGTGCCACGTGCATGTAATTCTTTTACTTAATGCAGTTTCTGGAGAAGGATTGAGAACTTAGTAATCTATATAAGTGCAGAGATCTCTCTTATTACTCCGTTTTTTCTGTTCTTTTGATATTCTCCCAGTACCTCTGCTTTTAAATGGTTCAGTGAGAGTAAAAAGATCAGATGATGGATCTAAGTCAGCTTGGTAGTATTCATTTGCCAAGAGGTAAAGGGAGGGTGATGAGGAGGAAGAGAACAGAGTTGGGTATTGCTGGGCATTGAGAGCAAAGGTATAACCAGATAATCTGGCTGCAAGCAGAGGTGGGAATGGGGTGGAGGTCGTGGCAGCACCCCGTGGGCAGGAAGGGTCTGGCAGAAGGGAGCCTGCCCTCAGCAGAGGGACTCAGGAGGATATAAAGGTCAACCCTGCCACCACCACCAAATCATCCGTATGCCTTTTTGCCATATTTCTATTGGAAGACACGACTCTGCCACTCAGGATGTTCATGTTTAAGACCTTGATACAGTTCCTGCAACGTCAGAAGCCCTAAGAACTTTCTGCTGTCATCACAAGGAACTGCCACCAGTGTTAAATACGTTTTCTGCTGGAGAAAAAGGCTTGAAAAAATAAATTATTAATACCTTCTCCCCAAAATTTTAAGTTTAAATACAAGATTCAATGGAAAAAATATGCTGTTTCGCTCAAATTCAAAGTTCTCAATCCAGAAAGCTTTCAAAACAAGTAAGCCAAACTATGTTTTTCAAATAACTTGTCCTTATGCTCAGATACTCACTTAGTGTCTGGGCACTGTTATGCTTTTTCAAACTTGGTCTAAGAAAATCTGAAAAAAACTCTTAAAAAAAGAACTAGAGTTGAGGAGTGGAGTTAGCATTTCAGTGGGCGCATTGGCAAATAGAGTGTAAATGAGCTCTCTGAATTGCTGCTGCTAGCTGATGCTGTCTGGTGGCCGGAGCACTGGTGACCAGGGAGCTGGGTGCCATTCAGTTTTGTTATGGCCCTGGCAGTAAGTCACGTTGTAGCTTTGAACAAGATATTAACCTTTTTGTGTCTCGCAGGAAAGGATTAACACCACTTACCTGTCTCACAGGGGTAATTGGTAGATTAATATTTGGAAAATATTAAGTGCTTTTTGCCTTTATTATTGAAACTCCAGCTTTTAGGTTAAGGATATTTTAAGCGTGCCGTATTTCTTCCCTGTTTGACATAGGGTGCCGATTTGACATGAGTAATTCAACAAAGAAGTGAGGAGTCATGGGTTTGAATGTCCCTGTATTTTGGATAAAAGTTCCAGATGTGACTGAAAGAGGAAAGGTGGGAAAGCAACAACTGGGAAGGCAAAATGTGAATTGATTTACTGGGATTAACAGTACTGAAAAAGTATCCAGAGATCAGAAGAGAATGCATAAACTGAAATGAAATCCCAGTTGGATTAAGGAAATGTTTCAGTGACATGCAAACCCTAAAGTGTGATGAGGAAAGGGAAAAATGGCAGATGAACACTTCTTTTTGCCCCGATCAAGAGCAAAGTTATTCTTAATAAGATGCTGAGATTTTTGGGAAGTCTACTCAAAAATTCAGTAGTGTTTTATCTGAGAAAAATAATTAGTCGAAGATTGCTTTCTACTGAGGTGTTACAGATGGAGACTTTGTGGTGTGGTAGTTTAAAACAATTGGTCTTTACCTCTAGAGATCCCTGAGATGAACGTTGCCCAGAAGCAAGAGTAAAATTGTGTTTTTAAAGCATCATTTTAGGAGCAGTGGGACAGTTGGCAGAGTTTACCAAAGCTGTTGAGAGACTCTGCAGACTTTAATTACCATCTCAATATTGCAGAAGTTGTTTAATTTCTGCCAAAGAAGGGAATAGTTGTGAGAAAGCGAGATCACACTCTGTCTTTCATTCTTTCCTTTTTGACAGGTGAATAAAGGATGCTTTTGAGTGTCTCCTCTGATACTATGACACATTTGTAAAATTTGCATAGAATTGTAAAATAATTCTTCTTTAAGATTAACAAAGCTTTTTTTTTTTTTTTTTTTTTTTCATTTTCTTTTGAAAATGTCTTACCGCATAGTGTGAATGCAGTTCTGGTCTTGTGATGAAAGAAGCAAGAGGAAAATAAAGTGCATTTTCTGCTACTGATTAGTCAGCTTCAGACACTAATAGTTTCAGCCTTCATGGCCAGACAACATGTATTATGTTGTGTTTATTTTAGAGGCTCAAATAAATTTTAAATTCAGGTTTGAATTCCATCTCTGGTGCGAGTGGTTGAAGGCACAACCTGGATTAGTAGAATAAAGAGGAAATTATTAAAATGAGAACAATCATTCCATTTTAGAAAGAAAAATCAGCCTATAATACAAAACTTCCTTGGTGAAGGATATGTTTACTTTTTTAGTCCTCAAACTCTAAATCATAGTATTTATAACTAGATTTTTCACTGTCATTCATGTGAGAAAAAGGCTGATACTTTTTTTTTTTTTCTTGTGTAGCAGTTCTTTTCCTCTGACACCTGAGTGCGTTCGGGTTTTTTCTAAGTGCTTCCAGTAGCCAAGGAAATACTGATTCTGTGAAGACTCTTACCAGCTCCTTCAGTAGATCTATTGTGTTGCTACTTTGTCTGTTTTGCTTTGTTTTAATGGCTGCCTCACATCTGTCTGTACTTGCTGAAGCACCAGCCATTGTTTACTCTATAAAACCCCTTTTTTCCCTCCTCCTCTTGAAGTCTTTTATCTCTCAAGGACCTTCTCAGTGCTGTCTTTCAGTTTCAGATCTCTATTGTCACAGTATACAATATGTTCAGAAAGCTACTGCCCAGGAAGTCTACTTAATCATTTGTATTTTTCGCCATATATATGATAAATCGCTACTTAAGGGCAAAGGGAACATGCTTGTTCAAAATCCAGAAAGGGAAGGATAGATCACAGAAACAAATAGGCACAATTTTTAATCCTTAACACTAATCATGTTAACTAGGAATACCTTTATGTTATATTTAGAATTTGGTTGTTTTGATGTTTGAAACTAAATGTTTGCAGTTTGTCTGGCAAACTGCATGCTGAATAGATTACACTGATTCACATTTCCTTATTTCAATATACCATCTGTGCTTTTGGCTGGTTGTTAGCCTGGTTGAGGCTGTCATTTCGTAAATGCAAGTTACAAAGAACTGTTATGCCCAGAAAGAGAAATCCTGTATTTCTCTTCCTTGAATAATCTTGACTGTTTTGACCTTAGACCAGCAAGGACATGAAGCTGAAGCTGTACCCACAGCAGGCTTTATTTTCTCCAGTGAAGAAAGATGTATTAGCAGGATGTAAAGATCCCCTTGGTATATTTCCAGTGAAAATCTAGTATATATAGTCATGGTCGTGATTTTCATTGTGTAATCATTTTAATTAAGTTCAACGATAAAAGTTAGTCTTGCATGAAGAATGAATGCACTAGAGAAATAATGAAAGACTGATGACAGCTTGGGGAGCATCACATTCTCTGCTGGTGGAAATGTATGTGTGGAGAGCAGCTGAGCTTAGGTAGCAGGTCAGAGATTACCTGCTCAGAGCAATGTCCAAGCAAAGTTTTGAGGATCTGAAAGAAGCAGGATACAATGGGAATATCCAAAAGCATTTTTGGTAATATTTCTGAGGGGTTTTGCTTGAATGAATAGCTTCATTACTAAAATAATAAACATTAATATCTGCATCGTTTTTGTAACTGCTAGCTTAGCAAGGTAATTAGTATAATTACTATACAGCATTGCTTGGTGACATGATAAATCATAGCATAGTGAATGTTGACTCTTTACCACTATGATGTATTATCTAATTTACACAGGTAATAAAAAAAGGTAGAGGGAAAAAAGAAGGGAAGCCAGCAGTGACAGCTGGATGGCCTTTTGGTCACTCTTCTTGCATCTGCTGCCTGTATTCTCAATTGCTTTGAATCACTGCACTGTTAATTAACAATTCTTTTTCTTTTTCTCACTGTTGCTAAGTCTTAATCACTGACTGAAACCTGCAATTAGATGCCAGAGTAGAATGATGTAAAAAGCCAGAGACTGGCAGGTTTTTTCCCCTTCAGGGTACTTGTACAAAGGATAATACTTCTTCAGTAAAAATTCTGTGTTTGTTGGTTGTGTCCTTTGCTTTCGCATTCCTGGAGGCATCATCTACCACTTACAGTTCAGTGCAAGGTTGAAGAACGTTACCAATGTTTTTCTTTGTTATGTTCTGTTTTTTAGAACCTATGAGAACACCGAAAACATTGAAGATTGCTGAGATCCGGGCCAGACACATTGCTGTGGATTGGGAATCTCTGGGTTACAACATCACTCGTTGCCACACTTTCAATGTCACTATATGCTACCACTACTTCTGCGGACACAACGAGAGCAAGGCAGACTGCTTGGACATGGACCCCAAAGCACCCCAGCACGTTTGAATGTCAGCCTCAAAATGATCTTAACCAACCCAGAAGGGAGGAAGGAGAGCGAAGAGACCATTATTCAGACAGATGAAGACGGTATGCGTAAATGCTCTTATGGAAATTACATCCAAGTCCAGTCTAGACAAGTGGAAGGAAATGATTTGTGTGTTACAACATGTGTCCTGAAGGACAGAAGTTCTCTTCTATTAATGTATTAATTAGGCCTACAACAGTAGCTTATACCCATCACCCTGCATATGTAGCCCAAACTGTCCACATAGTTCAAGTTAAACTCAGTCTCTCTCTCACAAGAAAAAGGAGGGTGGCTTCCCAGTCATTACAAAAATGTGCTAACACAGATGCCAAGAAATACATGGTGGTCTTAGGTGAAGACTTCTTCACAGTATTAGGTGTAGTATTTGAAAATTAATTTTATTCTGTACATTTATATTTAAATATTGAATTCAGTGCTTAAAGACTCTGTTCAAGATGTAAAACTTCTTCAGCAAATATGTTTGAACAATAATTTATGTTGCAATAATTTATGTTAACTGCTGGAAAGCCACCCATCAGATGAAAGTATGACATGTATGAAAGTATCAGATGACAACTTGGGATTTGGACTCGATCCTTATGGGTCTCCCTTCCAACTCCAGATATTCTATGATTCCTCTTTAAAATGCTTTCAATGAAGTTTCATTGACAAGACCATTGAACTTACCTTAGCTAGGAAGAAATAAAGAATAGATGTAGATGTTAATGGTGACATTCAGTGGTTAGGCTATGAATCTTGGTATGAAAGAGATTAAAATAAAACCAGATATTTTTCCCTAATAGTATATAAATGTGGTAGTAAATAGAAATTTTAGTTTCCTTTTCTTATATTTAGATTTTATTAAAATATTGACAACAACAAAATGAAAATAGATACTGCTGTCAGTAACAAAAATGAGTACTTGGACTAATGTAAGAGCGTAGGTACATAAGAAGATAAAATTGAAAAAGGTAGTGTGTTTGCCTGTAAAATGGAGGAGAGAGTGTAGCTTTATATATGGATAGCAAATCAAGGTTAGAATCTGGTAGCACTTTTTTGCCATTTATTTTCAGTTCTACAAGAAATAGAAGAGGAATATGTTTACTGTTGCAATAAAGAAGAGAGAACAGCTTATTAAATAGGTAGAATATGAGGAGCTGTAGAGAACTCTAGACATAGGTGCATCACACGAAGATTTATTGACAAGTACAGAATTAGAATATTTCATGCAATTCAAATTTTAGCATTACTGTTTTAAAAAGTTAATTATAAACACAGTCCATTATGAATTATTCCTATATCTGTGTTTACGTTATAGATATTTGGGGTTGCTATTTTCCTTGAGGTTAAAAAGGTAATATTGTTATGTTCACGGAAAATGGTTTTCTTTTTGTTTTTAACTGAGATTTTAAGAAAGGTGATGGTTTCTGATAGCCTTTATCTAGTTAGATGTGTGGAGATGGTGGCTGGTCACTGTAGTGGTGCTTGTTAAGAGCAGAGTGGAGTGCATGTATTTTGTCTTCTGGTTTTGTTGTGGGTTATTCTTGGAAAGTGGTGCACACAAGACAGGTTTTGGTCTCAAGCTAGCATGCCAGTGTGCTGTCAGTGAACATGTTTAGACTCAGCTTTGGTGTCAGAGGTACCATAGTGTAAAAGAAGCCTCACCCAGTGACTGAAAGTTGCTAAGGTAAACTATTTCAAGCAGATGTTGTTTTCAAGGAGGGATTAAAATATTTTAAAAGGTACCCGTGTTTAGACGCACTGGTGGTAATAATGCTTGTGACCTGAAAATTCCCTCTTGTGAGGTCTACTCAGTGATACTATTGGAAATGACATGCGGATTTTTTAATTGTGTGTTACTGATTGACTTGAAAGCCTATGTCCGTTTTGTCATGTATTTCAAAATGCAGAGTGTGCAAGCAATGTGCAGTGTGAAGGGCTTTCAGCCATCTCAGAGAATTAAAGGTGTGTTCACACCTACGTCTCTTCTTGAGCTCTTGTAGCAATAGTAAACAGAGCTCTGTAGTTGACTCCTTGTGTGTATGCTGCTAGTTTAGTGCCATGTCCAAGTGATCAACTGTCTGTCTGAAACTGTTTTAAAACACAGTTTGCAGCCTAAAGCAGGACTCAGGCTGAGAAGATGAGAGCTATAGGAAGATACATGAGTCTGTGCCCCACGTATTTCACATATGGTCAGAAATAGGCTCATTTTCATAATGATTTTTGTAGGTTTTGTAGAATGAGCATGATGTTGATTAAATAGTGGGGGCATTATCAGTGATTCAGGTATGAGAAGGAAGATAGGGGGATTTGCCTACTTTTTTCTATTTTTTTCTATTTTTACTATTTGCCTACTTTTTTTCAAATAACATTAATTAGAAATAGCCACTGATTACATGATTATCTGAAACTGTGCACTTACATTGTGTACTTTTCATACATAGAAACTTTGAAAACTCCAGATGACAATGACAGATAATTAACTCTTTTTAGCTTTTCTGTAGTGCCGTTCTTTCTTACAAGGATCTGCTAATCAAGTAAAAACTTCGTAGAGTGTTGGAGTTAAAGGTGTCTATCCCACATTTTCTTGTCTCTCTTCATCTTTACCTTTTTGCCCTTATCTTCTGTTGCTTTGTCCATCTTCCCCATGATTCCAGTTCTCTGTCTCTTTCTTCTCCTTTTTTTTGTTGTTTTGTTTTAATCTTTCCCTTCATCTCTCTTCTTCTTTTCACCTCCTCCCTTCAGCTAAGAGCTTTACACGTATTTGGACTTCTAGAATTCCCTAAACGCAGATGATCTCGGACTTTTGCAGAGCTCTGGTGTGAGACAGTGAGGATCTCTGGCTGTCTTTCACAAAGGTTCACATTTATATAGGGCTGTGTAACTGGGCCAGACCTCCCAGAGTGGTGAGCGATAACTGAGCAGTGCGTGGTACCAGGAGTCGAATTAACTGAGGAAACAATTAGTAGAAGAACAGAGTAAGATTCAGAAGCTGTGCTTCAGATCTTTGGAGCTGTAACTAACAAATGAAGAAGGTTTTAATAGCTTCTAATTCAGTATTTGCAAGAAAGCAAAGCCAGGAATATCAGTCTGAAAACAGCCTCCTTTCTGACCAGAGCTAGATCTGAACACTTGGTGGTTTTAAGTATTTCTATTTAACTTGGATAGATGGAATTATTCTTTAAAGTATATTATAGTAATTTGCAAACAGCTGTATTCCACATAACAATTAAGCCCTGGAGCAATGCACTGTTAAACAAGTTATGCAAAAAAAAAAAAGAGAAGCAAAAAGGTAATTTGTCAGTGTTTTATGGGTAAAACACCATCTTTCATTTTGGGGAGAGACCACACCATTGCTAAGATTTGGGAGAAAGCTCTTCTGAGTACCTGGGCACTCGACGTTACCTGTGCCATGACAGGGACTTGCTGCTTCACCTGGCTTGCACAGGGGATGGACGGTGTTTGAAGGATTTGATAAAGAAAAAAAGAGAAAGGCTCCCACAATCTGGGGCTGCATACGTGCTGGGCAGAGATGATGTTTGGCATTTCGAACAAAGTACAAAAACCAGCAGTGAATTTATCACTTAGCATGAATCAGCGGCGTGTGCGCATTCATGGAGCTGCCCGTTCCTAAGGGTGCTGCGAACTCAGAGGGACCCTTTTAAGAGCAGCGGATGGTGGATGAGATTAAAGCAGATAAATGCTTCTTTAATTTTTAGTTGGAAACGGATGCAAAAGCAGTGGATTAACAGGAATAGTGACATTAGCTGTGAGAGAGCAGCTACAGAGAAAGCAAATAGTGAAGCTCAATGTTCGATTGTGGTTTTATAACTAGTAAGGGAGTGTGTTGGCTAACAGCAGGCAAACAGCTAATTGAAAAAGCTCACTTGGAATAGGGTAAGTACCCATTTTGGGGCTTAAAGTATAGCAAAGCTTTGGTCTGAGCCAAAGGGCATGCTCCTTGAACGCAAACGAGGGCCCCTGATCTTCAGACTGTGTGGCTCATTCAGTTCCGTGCAGAGGTACCTAAAGCTGCGGTGCGGGGTTAAGACACAAACTGTCCAACCGTTACTCAGGCTCCTGGGAAAACTCCAGCAGGCTCACCACTCTGGGAAACAGCAGAGGAAAGGGGAAACATTATAATTAGAGGACAAAAAAACCCCTAAAAAGTAAAGTACTTTATGTACTGTCTAAATGTGTGAAGAAGAAATACCCTCCACCAGCTTCAAGAGGGAGAATTTTATGGAAACGGTTGACATTTAATATGTTTCTGTGATTGATAGTAGTAAGTTTTGTAAGTTGCCTTTACCAAAAAAAAAAAATCCTCCCACCTTTAGTATTTGCTGTGAGCAGCATTTTTTCCTTTGTGCATTTTCAAGTTGTTCTGGCACCCCAAGAAAATATTGGGGGGAAAAAAAGAAGTAGTAGAAAATGTACTTTGATGAAAGGAAACAAAGAAACAATGCTTCAAGAAGCTTTGGAAAAACATGGACTTAAAACTCTACTAGTAACATAGAAGTAACAAAAATAGCCCACCTAGGGGGAGAGTTAATGCAGTGAGATGAACAGGCATTATGTTGAACGCAGCAAAGGGGGGGCTGCAAAGATTGCTTGAAATGGCAAACTATTTCAAAACCTGTGTGACTTACATAGCTGAGTGGCACATGCACAGATGCCAAGTGAACCTGGTATACTAATCCTATTAGTAAAAAAATGGTATATGGTTACAGTTAATAAGAAGAAACCCATGACTAAGAGATAAAAGTTTAAATGTGAAGTTGTCCGTAAATGCCGCCGCTAAAGGTATTGACCTTAGTCCTTGACCAAAAAGAGAGACTAGTGACTGACGTGTCGTGAGTGGCAGCAAAATTTAGTGTCAATCTAGGCAAATAAGGGAGGAATTTTTATATCTTCAGCAGAAGTGAACTGAAACCGATTACAACCGACCTACTGCCATTGATGAAAGGAGCCTGGGATAACCTATTTGTCCTTCAGCTCGTGTAAATAACCCTAATTCTTTTTTTCAGATGGTAGGTAACATTTGCTATTGGCATATCATTGA